CCCCCCCTGGGTTCTCCCTGGCACTCTGATTCCCGGAGACTCTTCCTGCTGTTTTACACCGGTGCCGACCTCTACAGAGAGGCTAAAGTCCCATGGCTCGCACTTTAATTCCGTATCCACATTTCCTGAGAGTACCACCTGTTCTGGGGCTCCTGTGGTGCCCACCGAATCACAGATTCATTGACACCGCCCCAACTGTGTCTTCAGTGACTCTCCCGAGAGCAGCCACCCCAGTGTCGTTGACAGCACCCTTCTCTCCAGGCACAGCGCTAAAATCTTGTCCTGGCTGACATCAACCCCAGAGGGACCCTTGCCCACTGTGCTCACATCAGGGAAGAGCAGGCCTGAGGTGAGGGGTGTGTATTATAAACTTCTGGAATGAGATGGGCCGTAAGCTTCTTTGACTACCCAAGTCCTTCCTCTTCCTGGGGTTGGACTGGTCTTCACACCTGCCTGGATGGGAGGTTTGGGGGATACGATTGCTCGCTACATCTCCCCCTTTTCTGTGGCCCTCACAGTGAACTGTGCTCGTCACACACGCACACGCGCGCGCGCGCGCACACACACACACACACACACACACACACAGAGCTCCCTGAACTGTGGGAGTTCACTTGGTGCTACATTCCATTTGTTCCCAAGGGTTTTTTTGTTTGTTTGTTTTTGTTTTGATTTTTCGAGATGTGATTGTTGCTGGAGTTTCTTGTCCTGCCTGATCCCGCTGCCCTTCTCAGCCCCCAAAAACCACACAGGTGCCATATTAGTTACAAAACCATTGGCCGATGGCTAGAAGCGCTTCTTATTGGCTAGCTCTGTTTTATTAATTATTAACCCATTTCTATAAATCTACGTATTTCCATGTGGTCTTGGCTTACAGGAGAACGCCCGGACCTGTTACTCCTTTGGCAGTTACATGGCGACTCTCCAAAGTGTCTCTCCCTGCCTACCTTTTCTAGAATTCTCCTTGTCTCCTAGTCCTGCCTCTGTTCATTAGCCGGTAAGAGGAACAGATACAGAAGGACATCCCCCATCACACAGTTACTCTGCAGGTCTGTAGACCAGGCTGGCCTCAAACTTTCGGAGATCCACCTAGGACACACCGCCCCCAGGAAGACAGGCAAATGACCTCACCTGGCTCAACTTCTTCCAGAGAAGGATCTCATCACTGTGCTGGGCTCGTGCTGCATGTCCGACGGTGCCCCTAGTCAGTGTAAGTGTGGAATGGTTGGAAGTGTATGAGACTTGGGGAGGCATTGTTAGCAAAGGACTGGACCACTGGGAGGGGAGCACTTGACCCACGATCCATTGTAAACTTCTGTCCTACCACAAACACCACTAAAAATATCTTTGCTTTTACCCGATGGAGAATCAGAAATGTTCTTTTTCAAGTGATCTGTTGTAGTGGCATCTTTCTTGCACAAGTAAAGCCTGTCTGGGCGTCAGAGAATGGAGCTTGCCACTAGCTAACCATAGAGGTCTGGTGGTGTGTCCTGGTGAGTACTTATATTAGCACATACTAATTGCATTATATTTGCATACGTGTATAATTAGGTCCTATTCAGCCCTCATTCTTGCCTCCCTCCTACCCCTACTGTCTCTTCCTCAGCTACCGTTAAACTGCAAATAGTTCCTCGGGGAGAGGGTGGAGTCGTGAGTCTCTCCCCATCTACCACTCCCATCCGTGAGGGACTGTGGATGGGCCCAGTCTTGGGCACCAGAGTGAATATTTAACTAAGGTTAGCAAGCTTTCACCATTTCTCCCAGAGAAACACTAAAATATTGGGCTCTTCTCTGACAATTCATTCCCACGGCCTGGATGGTCTGAGAGAGCTGCCCGGTGGTCAGCGCCTTATTGTCACCGTCTTTGCATCCCTAGGGGTTTCTGGGGCCGTGTACCTCACATCAATGCCCCCGGTATGACAGACTCCCAGATGGCCCATTATAAGGTAGAGGAGGGGTTGGCTCGCGCTTCCATGGGTTGTGGAGAGCACTGGGAGGGCAGAGACTTCTGGAGCAGGAAGACTGCAGTGGTTACTTACTCTTACCTGTGTAAGTTCTTCCCTCATAAGCACCTATTTGTCATTAGTCTTGGGTTTGGTGACCTCTTTTAAATCCCACCTTCAGTAGGTATGGAGGCTCCTGGCACCTGCCTTCCCACCACCACCGCCATGAATGACTTGGTGTAGTTTGAACAGTGTTTGCGCATAGAGGCTGACTGCGTGTAGTAGGAAAGGACTCCACACCTACTCGGCAAAGGTCTAGTTGTCCTATTGGGAGCCACTGTAGGTCTATGAGGAGCCACTGTAGGTCTATAAGGAGACACTGTAGGTCTATGAAGAGACACTGTAGGTCTATGAGGAGCCACTGTAGGTCTATGAGGAGCTCACTGTAGGTCTATGAGGAGACACTGTAGGTCTATGAAGAGACACTGTAGGTCTATGAGGGGCCTATTGTAGCTCCCACTCTAGGGAGCAAGAGAGTAACCCTTGTTCATATAGCATTAGCCTTTTGGGCTGCAGTCATGGTCAGTGAGCGCAACAGAATGTGAAGGGCATTGGGGGGGGGGGGTACAGGCTTTCCATCATATCTCTTCCACAGAATCTTCTCTGACAGAGTGGGAAGGGAGAGGGTTGCCTGGCTTTCTTTAGGCTTTGCCTACTGAGGAGGAGCTTGCCTGGGGTTTTGCTTGTGTTCCTCATGTTTGGGGGAGTAGAGGAAATGGGAGGGAATGAAGGCCAACCTGGGAAGAAAGGAAGAAAAACAGGCATGAGGGATGGAAGGAAGAGAGAAAGCCATACATGGACCAACAAGGCTTCAAAACTCTTCCAGCCCCAAACCTGGAACCTCCCCAAGACACACTCAGCTGGGGCAGATTTAATAAGGAAAATCTCATGTTCCAGACAACGATATTAAATAATGAACATGCTTTAATGCCAGGCAAGAGCTATACAACCAACTTACAACGGGACCACACCTCGTAGTATGACATACATATTATTGAATCCACTTGTAGCAAGTCCCCCTGGGGTGTACTGCTGGGGTGGGACAGCACCCACAGCGACCCTTCGCAGTCTTACGTGAGGTACAAACAGTCAACTTTGAAACATCCTTCAAGTCATAAGCCATGTAGTCCAGTCCATAAACAACGCTGGCTGCCTTTACTTGGAACAAATCAGGTTTCATTTCCTCCAGATAATCCGCAACAGAGCTGCAACAATGCCTCACCTGAGTGACGTCTTCAGGCACCCAGGCATCTGGGAACCGTGAAGCCCCTTGGTCAACATGCGTAAAATTAGATATACTCATACCTCCCTGGGGAGAGGTGGGGTGGAGCCGGGAGAATACAAGCAGGTGTGTTATGTCTGTGTGGCTGGCCAGTTCTGGGACCTCTGCATGCCTTCTGGGGACCACAGGGCTCCTGATCCATGCCTGTGGACCTTTCATTTCCCAATAGCTGGAAGCCACCTTCTCTAGTTCCCAGCTCTGAGTTCTGGGAAACGCTGGGTCTGGCTCAACTTGAGGCAGAGCCCAAGTGGATTCTCCAGCATCAACTGATGCCATTCATGAAATGCGCGAGCCAGAAAGAGGAATGCAGCCCTCAGTTCAGACTGGGATAAGTGAACAGTGTGCTGGGTCCCTGACTTGTTGGTGCTCCACAACTTGTGTTCATTCTGCAGTTCAAAAAACAGACTTGACCATGTGGCCCACGGGATTTGGCAAGCCTCGGCACAAAACGTAAGGAAATGCCACTAGGAAAAAAAAATGCAGATTACAGAATTCCAGCACACAAAGAGATTCATTTTAATCCACTATTCAAGTTTGAACTTGAGGCGTTCGGTCCAAGTGTCACCGTGGGGGGTGGGGGGTGCTGCAGGCTGGCAGGAACCTGTGGGCATCACTCTCCTTGCCGTTGTGTTTATCTTTTTGTGGTTCTTGTTCTACAGGAAGTGGGTTGGCAGGGGAAGGAGACCTTCCTGCCTCTTAGGCAGGTTCTGCCGCCGACACCCTTGAGTATCTGGGCCTTCTGATGCCAGCTGTTTGTGGGGCTTTGGCCTGTCTGTGGCCGGAAGTTCTTACTTCCAGCCCTCGTTCCAAAGTAGTGTACATGAGGTGACCAGCCCAAGCAGCAATTTGACTTTGCTACATGCAAAGGACACGGTGAGGGGCAGTGCTGATGGGATCCCCATGGGCCTCGGGCACTGCAGGCCCCTTGCTGGCTCTAACAGTGGGTGAACTGCCCGGCTTTTCCACACCTGACTCTTTGAAGGGCACCTGGGGCACCTAGATGAACATTCTAGGTGTGGCTCTCCCACCAAGGATATGGGTTAAACCACTAGGAGGTCCTGTCTGTTTTTCGAGTCTATGGAACATTCATCTGCTCAGAAAAATGTTACCCGTGCTGGTGCGCTGCTGTGCCTTGGCCCCTGTCTGACAGTGTGGAGTGCCCCATGCAGGACAAGACGCTGGGAAACCCAGGTTCCTCATGTCCCCCAGCAGCCTTGACTCTGGAAAACCATTCAAACATCAAAGCTGGGCCCTTACATCATTCCTCTGTAATTTTATGGAGTATATAAAATATACTTGTTGACTGGTACATTTGTGCAAAGACAGGTATGACTTGAAAACAAGACATTGACATTCATTGTAGTTGGCTTCACAATAAGTCTTCTGTAAGATTGTATTAGCACTTATTAAACATGCATTTACAAGGCAAAACACTTAATTTGGTCTGCAACACCCAATATTGTATATACAGCAGTCTTTATAAATCACAAATAGGGAGTTAGATGGGTCTGGTTTTAGAATCTGTTACCATCTGTGTGTTATTTTTCCAAGGAACTCTTATTAGCTCAACTTGTGTAAACCTGTGGAAAAAAAAAATAGCTGAGCCATCTTTGCTCGTCTCCTGTTGATTTACCTTGAAATGTTCACAGCTTAGAAATGACAGCCTGCTGGGGTAGAGAGGACAGTGGGCCTCTTCCAGAATGTCCCAGCTTCCTTTGACTGGTTCTTAGGAAACCCAGCCCCAGGTGTCCGCCATCGCCCTGAGGGCATGTGTGAGACATGCCCATCCTAGGAGTTTGGTCTTTCAAACAAAGCCCCTCCAGGTTGGGTGGAATACCCTTCTGTTGCCCCCAAGTCTTGGGTTTTTAAGACAAAGACATTAGAATCGGGGTGGGGGGGCAATAATGATTAAAAAGCCATCCAACGGGGAATGCCACAAAGTGTGCTCATAAGCTCCACAGCACACGGGGCTCTGGACATTCCCACAAAATGTCCACAACAAAAGAAGCAAGAGGCAAAGGTGTCACAGGAGGGCGCATCTGACCGAAGAAGGGACAATGTCACCATCAATATTTTTGGCAAAAAAAAAAAAAAAAAAGTTTAACCGCTAATCAGGAGACACGAGCAGCTATAGCGTCCTTGGGGTGCAGGGCTCAGAACTGGCCGGCACTGCTGGGGTCGCACTGCAGGAGACGCACGATGGATGGGTCGCTTTTGGCCCCTCGGATGAATTCTTCCAGGGAGAGTTTTCCTAGGAAGCAAGAGGACCAGTGAGTGGCAGCCCATGGTCCTTTGTACCGCAAACTGGGAGCCGCAGGAGTCCTCAGTAGAAGCTGGAGACGATGAGGAAGGAGGGAACCTCACTTCTCTGTTCACCATGATATCACCTTCCAGGACCCAGGGCTTGGAGAGGATGTTGGCTTACCCAGACCTGAATCTCTGCCTCTACCTATCCTGAGGGACCCACTCTGTCTGAGGAGCGAGTGCCCCCCTTGTTTGAGTGTGCCAGGCTCCCGAAGCAGCAGGGCTGAGGCGGCCACTCTGTATTGGCATACTCAGGTTTGCAGCAGCAGACTCCTCCCCTTGGGTGAGCAGAGCATGAACCCAGGTTCTTCCTAACAGGTTTTTGAAGACAGTAGCATCGTACCCAAAGCCAGGAGAATAGATAGAGGGTGTTCCAGATAGAGGGTGACCCACCGGTCCCTGTACTCAGCTGGCTTGAGACGGAAGACAGGGACCTGCTCCCTCACACAGCACCCTCCAGTCTCACTATTTGCCCAAGCTTCCTTTTGACTCTAAGATCTCTTACCTCTGCCTCCTGGGTAACCCCTCTTCTTCCTCAACTTTCTCCCAGTAAAGGTCCTCTGTCGCTGTCATTGTGGAGAAGTGAGCAGAGGATGCTTTTTTCTGTTTCTGGCCTTCCACAGTGGCCCTCTGAGTGAAGTGACTCACTCACTAACAAATTTGGTCTGAAAAGCTGGGCACCCTTGCCCAGCTGTGCCCTTTCTCCTTTCCCAGATACTTAGCCCCGTCTCCCCTTCCAGAGACAGTCATAGGCCTGCCAGGCTCCTCCTGTGCAGCTCCTTAGCCACTCTGCCCAGCGACCTGCTCAGGTGCTGCGGGGCGAGGCTGAGGCTGGGAGCAGAAGCGCCACTAGAACACCTTGAAGTCTCAGGCGCCGCCGGCGCTGGAACCACAAGCTCTAGCTAGAAGGCTGGGCGCCCAACATGAACTCTCGGCTCTCTTGCACAGACACCCATGTGACTTGCCTGTAGATGCAGAGGCCAACAGTGAAAGGCAAAGGCCTTTAACTAAGAGGACTGTGATGACAGCTCCTGGTGAGAAGGGACAGGGGATTCAGACCTGAGGCCCCCGAAGCCAAGCCCTGAGCTAAAGCTGTGAGTTTACTGGGTGCTCAACAACCACCCCTCTCCCATCATTGTTTCCATCCCCATGGCTTTCTTCATTTAAACAAATCTTTCTTTAGCAAAGCCCGGGGCAGTGTCGTCGGCTGCACATTGGGAATGGTGACCTAGCCAGGGCCCTTCCATCCTGTAGAAACGGTCCCCGTGGTCTGTGAGCCACACATCTGGAGGTGTCTTGTCTCATCCATCAGTTCTCCTTTAAGGAGAAGGCTGGCTCTTAAAGCCGTAGTGTTCCCCAGACTACCAAAACCTGTGATTCAGCACCAGCAAGTTCATTAACTATTAAAACAATCCCACGTCTGCTTACACTTTGCAGAACAAACCATGCGCTGTGAATTAAAGCACCTGAAGGGAGTCAGGGTGCATGCAACTGCGGAGGAAACAGCAAACAGACTGGCTTGCACAATGAAAACCAAGATTCTCAGGGAGCTGGCGCCCCACGTGAGAGGGTAGAAAGAGGCTTGCTGTCTGTCTGCAGAGCCTTGTACTGCACACATCAGCTTCCCACGGGGCCTGGTCCATTTCTACACTGCTGAGAGTCAACATCAAGAGCTGTAGATCTGGGGCCAGTGAGATGGCTCAGTGGGTGGAAATATCTATCTGCCACATAAACCCAAAGACTTGAGTTTGACCCCTGGAACATATGTAAGGGGGGGAGGTGCTGGATTCATAACGCTGTCCTCTGACTTCCATACATGTACCATGGCACGCGCGCGCACACACACACACACACACACACACACACACACACACACACAACACACGCACGCGCACACATACGCGAAAATAAAATTTATGTTTTAGAGATGGCTCAGTAGTTAAGAGCACTTGCTGTTCTTTCAGGGGACCAGTGTTTGAGTCTTAGTGCCCATACTGGGTAGATCCCAACTCCCTGTAGTTCCAGTTCCAGGGGACCAAATACCCTTCTGTGACCTTTGTGGGTATATGCATACATGGTACCCACATGGACGTGAATATACAAACACATAAATAACAAATGGATTTTAAAAAAAGGTTAAAGAGAGCTGGGAAGCTTTTGTCAGTGTTGGTCAGCCTTGACTCAGCTCTGTAAACTTGGGCACTTCTGAAGAGCCTTTCAAAAGATATGGCAAGAAAAATAAAAATGCCAAATTAATTTTGAATTTCAGTTGAGTAACTGATTAAGTATGTCCCAGATATTGGATACAGATATAGTTATCCCCAAAAGAAGTGATGCTTCCTCAATTGTTTGAACCTCTTGTATTCTACTCGGCAGCCCAATGTGCAGAAATCATGTTTATGTATTTATCTACTTATTTTGCTGATAAGGTTTCTTTACGTAGTAGCCCAGGCTGGCCTCAAACACGTGGTTCTCCTGTGTCACCACCACACCAGACTGAAACCAACTTGCCTTTCTGCTCTGGTTTATGCATTCACTAGTTGCATTTCACTTATGGCCAGTGTCCTTCACCCAGCTCTGGGGTCCATGCAGCCACTGGTCCTTCCTGCCCAGCTTCAGGGCCCACCCAGCTCCTCTGGACCCACTCAGCTCTGGGTCCCACTCATCTCTGGGGCCTACCAAGATCCAGGGTCTACCCAACTCCGGGGTCCACCTCTGCTCCTTCCTACCCAGGACAGGTGGCTCTCACAGAGCACCTTGAGTCAGGTCCTTCTGGCTGACATTTTCGTCCTGTAGTACAGTCCATGCCTGGACTCTACCCACAGCTTGGCCCAAGCAAAGTCCTCCAGCCTCCTACCGTCTCTATTGGTGTCCATCTGGCGGAAGATCTTCTCCGTCCTTTTCTCTGGGGTCGACTCATCTTCAGGCATTTTCATGACAGAGGAAACCATTTTGTAGATGGCCTAGGGACAGAAGTGACCAGGTGGTGATATGGAAACACAGTTCAACCCAAGAGTAGCTCTACTGAGTGCCAAGTGCTGGAGTGAAGGTCCCTGAACTCTGTGGGAGATGGGTCTGCCCCTGGACTTTGTTACAGGGCAGGGTGTGTGGTCCCTGGTAGAAGCAAGGCCAGCAGAACTCCGCCAGGATACTCTCAGCAGTGCCAACTGGCAAAAAGCCCACAGCTGCTGCCTCTGCTGTGGAAAATGTGAAAAGGATTTCCCAGCAGTCATGTGTAGTCTGAGTTTTCTGTCCTGCCACCCCAAATAAGCACATAGAGACATACTAATTATTAAACTGTTGGCCAATGGCTCAGGCTTCTTACTGGTTAGCTCTCTCTTAATTATTAACTACTAATCTATGTATTCCCATGTGCTCTGGGCTTACCTGGTAATGCCCAGGCACATTACTCCTTCTGCTGCTATATATGGCATCTCTCTGGCAGCTCCCCAGAATTCTCCTTGTCTGATAGCCCCGCCTATGCTTCCTGCCTGGCTACTGGCCAATCAGACAGGACACCGCCCATCAGTCATGTTAACATCTGAGGGGTGCTGTGAGAGCTGCAGGGCTGAGGTGTGTGCCCTGTACCAAGTACTGTCCAATGTTGTGCTCGAGGTCTTACACTCTAGATGATCCCAGGCTTAGCGACAAGCATGACCTATTGTGGCCACAACCCTGGCCCCTCGAGGATGGCAGACACCTGGAAGTCTGTCAGTGCATGCTGTCATCTTCTCTCAGGCAATTGTTGGCATCGGCCTTGGCTATCCAGCACAGTACATGGCCAGGGCCTTACACTTCCTCTGAAGCTCCCAGTAGCTCTGAGAGGGAAACTGGGTGCTGTCAGTTTTGGATTAGAATAACACTGCAATCTCGGGGTGAGATGGGACTGAGTTCATCTGTGAACCATGATACGACAAATCGATTCGACGGCAAAGATGGTGTAAACTGAAGAGGACCTGTCCCCCCACCACCTGTAGCTTTCTGTAGCACCCAGGAAAGGCTTGTGTGTGTGTGGGGGAGGGGCAGATTCATCAAAGATGCTTTGTATCTGGGAAGAGTAAGATGAGGTCACTGTTTCCATCCTCAGATCACCACGTCTTAATCCAATTCACTTTGGGCATCTCAGCCATGAGGGGGAAACTTTAAGAAAAAGTAGATTTTTGCCAGAAAGTTCCAGAAGTTTCTGGGGTTCTAGATAAAACAGGGCAACTGGGGAAAATAGGGGAAGAAAGACAACCAAGAAAAAGAGGGGATGTGGTGGCAAAAGAGATTACGGGTTATATTTTCTTACTCTATTTTCTTGTTTAGGACCAACCTTGTTAGAAATACCTAAATTATTGCAGACATGTTCTAATCCCAGTCCACCCAATAGGAATGAAGATGGATTCACCCAGTCCAGTGCCACCCTGAGGCTGTTCCCATCCCTCAGAGACCTCTGAGGCCGACTCCCATGTCTGCCCAGAAACAATCACAGCCCTTGCTGAACTCTTGGTCCACCCCGGAGTGAGTCACTCCAGGACAGTCAAGGCCAGCACCATGTTTAGGGTGATGGCTGTGACTGGGTAAACTCAGCCACAGCCGGCTTTCCTGAAACATGCTCACCAACGGATCCCTGGAGGCAAGAACAGAGTTGTAATTAGTCCTTCTCCTGCACCCAGTAGGCTGTTTCTCTCAAGGCTCCATCTGTGTCACCACTGTCGCTAGGGGTGTTGAACCTTACGCCAAACTGTTGGCCATAGAGGTAGTGATTGTTTTATTATTTATTTATTTATTGGGTTTTTGAGACAGGGTTTTTCTGTATAATGTTCCTGGCTGTCCTCTGTAGACCAGGGTGACCTTGGACTCATGGAGATCTGCGTGTCAGCCTCTTGAGTGCTGGGATTAAAGGCGTGCACCACCACCCAGCATAATGATAGTTTTAAAAGTGGGAAAGCAGAGACCTGAGATCTGTAAGTTTTCTGGTTAACTCTAGAACAAGGCAAGATGGAACTAGTGGCAACACACACACACCATACACACCATACACACCACACACACCACACACACCACACACACCACACAC